CCCCCCCACCGGCAGAGCAATCCTTCCTAACGGTTCAAATGACAAAATGATTCGCCAGGATCAATAGTCCAACTCCTCTAAATTCTCTGAACGCCTGTTAGCACCTTATTTACAGCAAGGAGAGAAAACGTTCGTGTGGCGTTCGTTCCGATCGAGATGCGGAGCTTTCATAAAAGTTGCCTGATCGAAGCAATAGCAACGCAAACGCTTTGTGAATTTTATCGATATTTCAGATTCGAGGGCTGTATCGTAGGGGCGATTTCCATAAGATTCATCCAAAGGGCTGTTCCAATTCGAAGCAATCGATTGGGCGAGTTCAGAATTTTGAGATAGGCTCCGGAGAGGTCAACCCGCTCGGAGTGAGTACGGAAGGGCGGAAAGGACAATGGGCATCGTTGGGATCTCACGAGTACGCTGCTTCTCGACGGAGGCTGTATTTCAAAGGAAACGTCAAGAACGTGCGGCGCGAGGGGAGGCATTAAGATCGAAGCAGCAAAGGTCAAGTCGGCTCAATGACGGCTTTCACCGAGAGTCTCTGCGACTCGGATTGAGACTCTCGAGAGATTGGTCCATCCGCCATCCACTAAATCCTTTGATGGCGAAGCGATCAGCACTAAAGTCCCAGTCACTTTTTTGGCCGACATTGGAAACCTAAGAGGAAATTCTTTAAGTCTCATCCACAATAGGAGATGCTCGCACACTATTGCGCAGCCACCGCAGCCGGGTGGAAAGTGGTGGATGCAGGCGTGTGCGGGTGCCTACGCACTTCTGCACCGGCAGAGTGAAAATGTGATAAGGAGCTCGAAAGTCGAGAATCGGCTTCAAAATCACTCCGGAGACAAATATTTCCTCAGCAGAAAGGAGAAAGAGACTTTTAGCTCAGACGGTCTTTCCCCCGTTTTATCCGAGCCCTTTCATAACCCTCCGACCCCTGCAGGAAAAGGGAGGTTCCTCCCACACTAGTAGCCAGCTCTCTTTATACGCTGCCTCTGCGTCCTCGTCTAACATCCCGCCGGGCATCCGTGTCCTATTGTGGAAACACGGAAATGCGAGCTTGTATTCTCGTTTAGGGACTTTTGCCGATTTTTCTTTCCTCGACGATCCCTTCTCGGCCCTCTCTCTCTCTGGCTCCGTCCCTCGCATCCGTTGTCCTTCACTCTCTCTCTCTCTCCCTGATGCTTCAGAACGGAGGATTCCGGGAAAGGACAAAGCGTGCGAAACAACCAGTCGAAGGGCTTCCTCGACTGTTTTCTAGCTGCTGGGATCTCCGTGTCCCGTGTGTAGCGATATTCTAAAGCACCAGGAATAGATGTACGTGTGTAGTGTGTACATACAAGTGGCGCCACAGAAGCACGCGGAGGCCAGAGCAACCAAAGCAATATCGTTTACGGCGCTACCGTTATTTGCACCGACAACAAACTCCCGTATTTCGGTAAATTCGCCTCTCGCTTCCCCGAACTCATTCTCCCTTCGGAATGCAATTTACAGCGGAACTGGTATGTTATACTTTTTTACGAGCGCGACCCCCGACGAGCTCTGCCTCTTCCCGTCCAGGCTGGAAACTTCGAAATTGCAAAAGTCGGCCGAATCTTGCGAGGGACTTTTCCGAGTTTCATTCTCAACCTGAGAATGCAGATTCTCTTGAACTGCATTCGATGCATGCTTGCTCAACCCCTCGCGTCGCTTATTAACACAAAAGAGAAGCACAGAGCGCTCGGAGAGCAACGGGTAAATGATCCTTGAAAGGAGGAGGAACACGCGGAGTCCTCGTTATGCTGCCGCCGACGTTCCAGTGCCTCCAGTGCCTCCAGCGCCTCCAGTGCACGCTCGTTCTCGAGCTCCACTCCCCCACTGCTGCTCCCTTTATATCTTTACATCTTTATATCTTAATATTCCATCCTAAGCTCTTTTATGGGAGCCGACGTCGCCTCGGAATGTCCTAGAAAATTAAATTTCATCCCGTGTGTTTACGGTGCACAGAGCTATCCAACTGAAATTTGACAGCTGCCGTGCAGCCTCTTTGGCATTCTCTCGATCCCTAAATCGACGGGAGCTTCGTCTACACGATCGAACTATTTTCTTCTGAGCCGTCATGTCCTTTTCAGCCTTTGTCCAATAAGACGCAATGTAAGCAACGGCCTCTCCGATGGAAAACTGGCCTTATCGCCCCTACAGGATTTCTCCTAAAGAGTAGCGATGGGCGAAGGAAAGCCCAGAGTTTGGCAACGTCGGCGCGTTAGGCTCGTTTCGCAACGTACCTCCTCTGCTTATATTACATAAAATGAAATAAACCAGAAGAAAGATAAAAACGTCAGAACCTGAGAAGAGGGAGGAACGTTGTGGACAAAGCATGGAGGCTTCCACGCGCAGCGGACTTTGAGTTTCAAGAAATAACCTGAAGTTCCTGGTGCGTCGGGAAAATTAAGTTAAACGGATAAGGACGGCTATAATCGGACTCCTCGTTGACATGCTCGGCGTCGGGAGAATAAAAAAAAGCAAAGAGTAAATGGGAGCACAAGTAGAGGAGTCCGCCCGGTGGGCAGCCATGGTGAAGTCCTCCCGAAAATCAGAGTCAAGCGTGAGATGATTTATAAGCAGAGCACGTTGCCGGGAGCGACGCACGAGTGTGCATAAATCACGGACAGTAATCGTTTGCCGATAATATTTACATTCCAGTGTTACGCAGCTCAACCTGCATGGATCTCTTCTCGGCTTAGCTTGGAAAATTGACGACAGAGCATCCAACAGGGACTTTTTGACGCCCTCGCTTATACCTTCGTAATAACTTCATTCCTCAGGAAATATGTAGCAGAGTATCGAACCAGCCAACCAACCTGCCTGCCTGCCTGCCTGCCTGCCTGCCTGAACTCAGTCTAAATTGGAAAGAAGGCTTCGATCAGTCGATGCAGGCCGGAAGGGTGGCACGGTAGACAGGAGGGTGCAGGTCTACGGAGACATATACGTTGACAATCAGAATCATCAGAAGAAGGAGGTGCCAGCTAGGCCTCGGCTAACGAAGACAGAGAACTCGGCGTTTCTTGGGATTACTTCCCTTTTCCGCTCGTAAATCAGCGACTGTGTCAGCTATCTCCTGCCGCGATATCAGCTTCCTATCGTAACCTCCGTCATATTTTATCATTTTACGCCTACTTTTCATGAGGTCTTTTTCTCCTCCTTGCGCTTATATATTGTATTCTTCGTTTGCTCCTCTCATTCCTAGAAATATCGGCCAACCTCTGAGAATCAAAAAACGAATAAGAATCCGTCCCTTTCGTGTGAGCACTTCCCGGGAACCGTAATGCGGATTGCGCCAGAGTCGGGAGTCTTCTGCGTTACTGATTACACGATTCGACGTAGCCGTTCGGTCGGTCACACAGAGCATTTCAAAGGCCCATCTTTCGAGAAACCGTCCAAAGGGCTTCTGAGGAAACGAGTCGGAATGTGGGTGGCCATGCGGATGAGGATATGGACCGGGATGTAATCCCGTGGAGGAGCGTTGCTGCCGCTCGACTAGCCGCGTAATTTAATCGCGATATTTGAATTTGCGGTTCTTCGGTCGCCCTCCTCACCTCCTTCGTCGTGCAAGCAAATAGGTGGAAGAAGGAGAGGTAGGATGATGTTTGACATTCGACCAGGCAGGCCCCAAGATACTGAATCAATTTCGATTGGCTCCGAGTAGAGGGCAGAAAGCCATTTACAAACGAACGAGCAGCGTGCTGTCTATTCGAAGAATGGCGTCCTTTGGTCTTATGACCCTCATAACCATACAGAATTGATTCTTCATTCTCCTTGGTCGAGGAATCACTCTATCAGTTTCGGAGTTCCCCTTTGCGGAAGGAATTAGGAGCCCACGTTACATGTAAATCAGCTCTCCCTATCGTACCATAACAGATCAACAGCACCGATGATGAAACAATCATAACGAATATGCGTCCGAACAGAGAATCTTGATTAGCACTTTTTCCTTTAAATAAATCCATCGTACAAGAACAGCATCCAATTTCGTACTTCGCAGTTATATCCAATCGTTAGAAAGCTCCTTTCATCGTAGTATCATCAAAGAACACAGATCATGTCGCAGAAACGAACTTCTGAAATGATTTGTAAGAGAATTTTTCTTTTCCAGATTTCTCGGCAAAAATCATCGCAAATTCTTTGACGACACAGAGCCCACAATGGACGACGACATATCCATCTTGTTGGTGATTATCCTAGCGGTTGGCGGCGTACTCATGATGACCGCTCTGCTTGCCTGTTACGCCTGTATCTTCCGCGACCTCTGCTGTCGCCAAGGTGAAAGAACGAAGAGGAGACGTGGCTCACCCAGAAGTCCTCTTCAAGGTTCGGGAGGCACCGGTCGCCCACGAATCGACACGATACCCTTAAATGACATCACGCAAGGTGAAAGTATGCCTACGGAATCGGAAAAGGTCTAGCTGTTGTCTCCTCGCGACTCGAAAGTTCGCGAATTAAGCGAAGCACGGTACGACGGAAGCCATAATATTCCGCTTGAAATCTGTTCTTTACAAGTGTCACGTGACACCTCTTCCTTCTCCTGCGAGATTATTTGACGAGGAAACAAAGTGAAATTTGGCAACGATAAAGAAACGAGAGAAACAGATGGAATGCAGCTTTTATCGATACGCGATACATAATTCGCAGATTCTAATAAATTCCTGACATGTCGACAATTACAACTCATGTCTTTATGTACATACGAATACATTCATACGTATATACAGTTATGCAATTGCACGTGCATCCAAAGATATGTAACAAAAATCAATATCTGAAGAAAGTATTGAACATCTCGGTACAACAGCACTAGTGGATGGCCAACTCTTTCGACAGTGGCCACTATCTCTAGGCCGCTCATATATAAAATAGAATTCTATTTGTATTTCACGTGTGGTTCTTATTCTATCTGAATCGAACGTCCTGTGGTAACTCTACCGTAAATGGCTTAAGTACCCGCTTGCGAATTTTCCTACCATTAGGGTAACATATTAACATATTAACTGTACATCATCTGTCGCTGCGAAACGCAAGTTGACATCTGGTAACAACACTTGTTCCGCCAGGATTTCTTTAGACTAGCTAATCTGATTATTCAGCTGTTGCAGTACAGAAAGTACGACTTCCCGAAGAGTCTGAAAATATATTTCACTGATAGTTGCACAAAATTCCCAAAAGAGAAAGTCTCATACATTAAGCGTACAATTTTACCTGAGGTTTGCAGTGCTCCTCTAACCAGCTAAAGACGCAACCGGATAATTCTGCAAAATTCACCACTGAAATATTGTTGAAAGTTTGGAAGAGTCGATCCATAATGACCTGAAACTAAACAAAACATATTGAACTACAAAACATTTCTTATCAGTTCCAATTACATAAATTTATAACAGTGAACACAAACCACTTGAAACTTAGTTTCATCGGATACACGCATTTCAGCATGTCCAGGTTGCGTCTGATGGGCCTTTACAATTTGTTCAATATTAGCTTGCATTATACGAAGAGCAACAACCTCCTTCCGAAGAGCATTGCGCTCTTCTTCCTGTTTCTTCTTCTGTTGAAGTAGAAATTGAATATAGTCGATAGACTTCTGAAGCACGGTTGCCTTAGACAGCTTATAGCCTGAAGAATCTGTATGCTGACAGCTAGGCACCAAGTCTTGAAGTGAATCATATCCTTTCTTTATCGCATCTCTACGCTTCTGTTCTGCTTGAGTGTGAGCTTCTCGACGTCTCTCCTTGTAGCTGATTGTGGAATTTTTATTGTCGCTGTCTTCATCCTCTAAGGAAAAATACAGTTATTCAAATAACAAATAAGAGAGGCAGTAATAAAGTATACGTTTTCTCTAAAGCTCTGTTGGTTATTTAGTACAAAGTTTACCAGTATTATGTGCAGACGAAGAAGGAGTATTAATTGATCCTGTACTACTGCAACGAGAGAATGTGTATCTCTCTGTGGGGCTTGAAGGCTCCAATTTCATATCTCCGTCTGAGCCACCGCTTCCGCCGCTACTACGCAGAGCTCCTTCTAAATAAAAAATTCGAAATGCAAAGGCACTTGTAGTTTTAATTTAATCAGTGATGTAAAATCGTAACTAAACTGCCGTACAGAGTATATAAAGTTATACGGAAAATGTATGAAAAACTAATAGTCTATACAAGACGAAATAACACATTTTACGAAGACACAAATATATTTTTACTTACGAGTCTCGTAGCCATCCTTGTACGGCATATCGGCCATTATACCCGAAATACGATTACGTATATCTTAAGTTTTGATAATAAAAAGAAACAGTCGCGATTGAGCCACAGTTGTACAGGCGCGAAATGTCGTGCTTCACCATGGAAAGAATTTGCAGAGACGTTATCGATTGATCAACAATGATAAACATACAAAGGCACTGACCCGTGAGGAAACTGCACGCAAACGACAATATCACAATATCATAATAACACCATGACCTGAAACGATTTCACAACCACAGCGCTCTTTGGGCTTCGCCATTCCTCATCATTGGAATAGCAATCGATGTGATGTAGTGCGACTGACAATGAGTACGGCAGCAAAGATCCTTCCTTCCTTTCCTTATGGCTGTATCCCCAATGGGGGACATGTGCCAGTAACTGGTCCTAATAATCAAGGTTGGAAGTTCGACACTAGATGGCGATGTACCTTGCAAGACGGGCCTTATTCAACTCAGCGTGAGGGGACCTACAAAGTTTATACACCGAATCCGAACAGTGTTGAGCGAAATCCGTATTAATACTCACTTAAGTTTTCAAATGAAAACCCATTGGTGAATGCCGCTGGAAGCTGGGCGCGAACCTCCAACCTTTCGGTCGTGAATCCGCTAGCCTATCCACTGGACTACGGCCGCCCCCACGGCAGCAAAGATGGAAAGCGGGGGAGCGAGCGAGCAGAGATCAGTAGGGAGATGCACAACGCTACGATTTTGGTATCGCCGAAAATCGTAGCGTTGTGCATCTCCCTATTCATCTCTGGAGTGAGTGAGAAAGGAAAACGGAAAAGTGTGTGAAAACAAGTACATAAAAGAATAAGAGCAAGCAGCGTTAGTCTCCTCTGTTGATATAACAATAGGTATTGCACTTACAGCCGATTGCCCAGTTGTCCAGATAGCAGAAGAGCAAGTTCGAATTCACTAGGCAGCGCGCGTATCATTTTTTAAATATATAGATATTTATAGGTTACGATATCGAATAAAATAGATATTCATATGTTATTTTACTCATATTTTTATTCCGAAATAAGAAATCTGAAATAAAAATAGTCACCATACATGAATCCAAACTTCATTTGAAATAAAAATGTTATCGAAATAAATTCCATGTAACAGTAAACTGACATTGAACAAGAAAAGCTACAAATATGAATTGGACTAAATCATTTTTGGCTTCTTGATCTGGAATATGAGAATCATTTTTGAATAGGGAGACGGAGGATAGATATTAATCCTCCAGTAGTTCAAGTCAATTACAGGCACCAAGAATATACCAAAATTGTAGAAGTTGAAAAATTAATATAATAATAGAATTTCAATAATTTGTCACCAAGATGTAAATGAGTACCCAAAGGGTGGTGAACTACAGAAATGCGCGCACTCCATTATTCCACCAAGAGCCGATCTCTTTCCATCAGACTCGTAGGCATTATAGTCTTAACCATTTCATTTCTTCCTTCTATCTTTTTTACTGCTTTATTTCTTTACTTCTCGATCTCCTCATTTCTTTACATTTTTATTTCTATCTTTTCTACATATTTGATGACCATACTAAGCATACGCATTTGAACAGTAAAATAGCTGTACGTAAACCATGGTTTCCGGAATTACCTTTCCGCCTTACTCGAGTACCATTTAATTTCAAATTGTTTTGGCATAAAGGACAAATAAAAGTAAAAAATTGTATGATATACGTATACAGGGTTATTCGCAACAAACGCACTAGCTGAAGTTGGACGCGATTGAATAATTCTGTTAATCGTGGCAGAAATTCATGATCTTATCGATGTTATGACGTTAAGTTTTATTCCTTTAATGATGTGAGCCAGCTCTGTTTCATGAAATCACCTATTCAGGACCAATTTTAGCTGGTGCGTTCACCGTGAATAACCCTTTAGAAGAATCGTTAAGCGAATCGAGGATGGAGCTCTTGTTAAATTAATATTTATTATATGGTGTATCTAATATATATATATTTACAATCGCATTTGATACACGTTAATAAACAAATAAGACAATATATAATTATTCTCTCGGCGGCACGACAAGGTGCGCTCAGGTCGCGCCGCTGGCAATTGTATTTATGTACGATGCATGCACGTCTTCCTGCTATTCTTATCAAATCTTTCTCCTGCTCTCTCAATAGCGCTCGACTCTCTAGTATTATCGGCTTGAAGATTAATCAAAGGACATGCTCAGAATTCTATGGATGCATGATTGCGCGCGTTCTTGGCGGTTGCGAGGGGACGGGGATCCAGCACCAAGCGAAACGAGCTTAACTGCTCTGGTCGCGACTTTACTCGCGACTTTCGCCATTCACGATTTTCTCTCATGTCGCCTGCATATTTATACAGCTAATTGTACATTCTTCATACGCTTACGTGAGATCGTATATCTTATATGCTCATATTCATAAATGCGTAGAGTACATAGCTTCATTCTTTCGTTCATCGCTCCCTCGGAGAACCGAGAATCGTCACACAGAAATGATGACGAGACGTTCAAAAAGATACGATTACAATATTTCGAATCCGATGATTTCCTAACGCCAGTTCCCACGATTCAAGTTAAGGAAAAACCCGTCAATTTCATACAAGTGCTCGCTCTCCTCCTTTCCTCATCCTCCTCACTCGCATGACTTTATTTCAATGAAGGTCACTTTCCTGCGATTTAATCGTAAAACCATCAGACATCAGATTAAATGTTCTGACAGTTCAATTTTTAGTAATATTTTTACACTCTCGCGTTTCATCTTTAAGCTTATCGCATGCTCTCACTTTCTTTCACTCCCTCTCATCCTCACTTTCGCCTTTATTTTCTTTTTTGTTATCTCTGCCCGACATCGATACAAAAGTCTGCATGCAATAGTTGTGTCGCTCGCGCGCGTCTCTCTCTCTCTCTCTCTCTCTCTCTCTCTCTCTCTCTCTCTCTCTCTCTCTGCGCGCGCGCGTGTGTGTAAAAGCACGCGCGCTCGCTCTCATCTTTTCACGTATTTATATTTATGTATCTCGACAGTTACTTTATTATTATTATTATTACTATTATTATAATTAATAATCGTTATTAATTATATTTTATTGTTCCATTAAAGTTTAAACGAAAATGCTTTGTGGCGGTATGCGCATGTCGCATGACCCCACTCATATATTTACTTATTATCAGTATTCTGTACTTTTATTACTAGAATCGTGAATAATTATAACTCACAATATTGCTAACTACACTTCATTGGGATTAATTAACCTGGGTGATCAATGAAAATTAGACAATAAATTGTACATAATGTTTCTATGTCGTTCTACGAAGGAGCATTGTCTGTGTCAACTTTGAAATACCGAACGGATTTACAAAATTACGATATTCGCCCCTCGACTTTCGGTATCCTCGATTCCTTTTCCATCGGATCCACCTCGGTTTGCTCGCAATTTAAGATGAAATTCTTTAGATATCCGCCGCGAAACGAAAGGCGGGAAATGTTCGAAGAAAAAGAAAACCCGAAAATTCGACGGATTCGACGGATTCGACAAATTCGACCGAGCGCAAAACATTTCACTCGGACCTCGTAGCTCGACGTACGCGAGAATCTCGACCAACAATAAAAATGGCAACGACATTGTCAAAGACGACCGCGATAAATCATCGATTCTACAATTAATTAGCTAAGTCCATTAATATTGCAGTAAATGCCGCACTTGTCGCGTTGCGGTCAAACGAATCTAAAAGACACCATTGTTCCGAAGATCACGCAACCCTTTTTAATAATTTTTACAATTTATTATTTATCCGACTTGATTTCTTTCTCTTCTTTTTTCATTTCTTTCCCCTACAGTATGAAATCATGAACTCACACACATGTTTCACCTAAAATTCTATAAAAAATGTATTCCTTCCTCTTAGCATTTTGATTTGCGAAAATTCTGAATAATAACTATCAGTCCCACGTAAAATGGCGTCTTTGAGTACGCCATAGCGAAGGGAATAATTTTCAAGAAAGATAAAAGAAAGTCAATAGCAAATTTTTTTATATCCGAAGGTTTGACTCGGTGGATCCGTTCTTTTTTCATCGTGAAATCGCGGAATTCTGGATTGAAAAGGGGCAAAAGTGAAATTCTTTAAAATATGTCGGCTCGACTAAATGAGGAAATTGATATGGTTGTCGGTGCACCATTCGGAGTACCTGTACGAACCAGTCTCACTTAGTCCTCTCAGGTACTTATCGATCGGTACTGCAAATTAAGATGCTAGAGCACTATGTAAAAAGTCCATTCCAAAAGCTGTATAAAAATCTCCCACCACGGATCTTGCATACTTAAATTGTGTCCATGCATAAGTGTAGCTCGCATCCCCCATTCGAAATTGCAGACAGTACAATTTTACTGTCGCTTGCATATGCCGCCGTTGTCCGAACTAGTAGATGCACTCCCATTGTTATGCGCCGGGACGCACAACGTGAACCGTATTTAGTTCATAATCAAGAGAAAGAGTGGTGACAGGCAAATAATTCTCCCGCGGTCAGCAACGATTAATCGAGTGGCAGCTGAGTCGACCTTCTGCATTTCAGGCAGTTGGTAATGCATACCTTCAGTCTTATCAGTAGTGGGATCGTGCAAATCGCCAAGTTCCGAGTTCTAAAGCGACTTTTATACAAAAGAGCTACTCTTCGAATAAGACTTTTAGCTAACGTCAGCTCGTGTGTGCCTAGTCCCATATTAACCTAAATATTTAGGGAGAAATTGCTAAGGTGAGATACTCGGTCGACGTTCTACCAAAAATATTCCATAGTATTGAAAAATAAAAAAAAAATTAAAATCGGCAAATGTTTGCAATCGAAGAAACATCGTAGAAATTCATTACATACTCGCTAAGCACTAAGTAAGATGAACCATCCACTCGAGCAAGAGAGTAAAAGAGTGAAAGAGATAGAGAGAGAACAAATAGAGATAGAAATACATAGGGAGAGAAAGAGACAGTGTTTATCGCAGAGGAAGATAAAGAGAGAGAACAGCAGAGCAGAGATTTACCCGGATATTAGCAATTAAATCGTATGGTGGATCGAGGTCCGAGTCTCCCATTTTTCTCAATTATTTCTCAGTCACAACTAATAATTCTAGATTAATTTAGCGAGGACCAAGAGAAGGCATTACTATACACGATCTTACAGACGATACAGATGACCGACTATCATTTAGAATATTTGTGAGCCCGCATTTCGACGTTTCATAGGACAAGAATATGAAATCGTTAACTTAGGCTTACTCATAGTGACCATCACCGCATGCATGGCCACTATCTTTAGCTAATATCAAATCTTGCTCCATTGCAATTGGCTATTGTTGGACGAACGGGAAATAATTTTGTACTTTTCTAATATCATCCATTATGCGTCGCAAGAAACACGAGATTGGTTTAGAAACACCTTCCTTTGGTGAGCCTCGGAGATGTTAATTGGATATTTGTACCATGGTCAGAATCAGTTTTACATCTTTGAGCGCTTAGCCTGACGAGACTTGGCAGTGCGGCGAGGCTTCTTGGTAGCGTCGCTTGGTGTCTCCTCTGCAGACGCTTTTCGTTTCGACGAAACCAAAGGCACGGGCACCTTTGGCGGCGCCATCTCCAGCACTAGCTGTGCGCTAACGGACGCCGCCGTTGTTGCTGTGGCCACAGCAGCTGTCGCTACTACCGGAGGCAAAGTTGCGGAACCAGCCGGTTGTAATGACATCTCCGTTGGGCTCTGAGCATCCGCTATCGGTATGAAGTCCAATGCTTCATCGAAGGACTCCGGCAGGACACCCTGATTTGCCAAAGCCTGCAAATCCTCCGTTGGTACGGGCATCGATTGGCCGCAACCAACACACACTGGTATCGCTGGCGATTTTGAGCGCCAGTACTGCAGCTCCGTCTTGCACTTGTTTAACTCCTGCAGAACGTCCAGGTGACTTTGATGAGCCTGAAGTACCGAAGGGCCCGTCGGAAAAGGTACGTATCAAGGGCATGCTCTCGGCGACAGTAACTTCCTTTCGGACCCTTCGCCCAAACGACAATGGCCACGTAGGCCGTAAGCACTGGCCGAGAAACGAGCCCGATACTCGCACCAAGTGTTTCCCGCTTTTAGAGCCCATTTTCCCCAATACTAAATACTAAGTGTACCTTGGTAAATACCTGTAGGAGCGTGCTGAACTTTCGTGAAGTCTCTTCGTTCTTCTTGTCATTGTCGTCCAAACGATTCGCGTACTCCACTATTTGCTTTTGTTGCTCAGCAATCTTCGCCTTACAACTTCGCAAATCCCTGCGCATCAGAGTCAATTGACTATTGTATCTCTTCATGCCTTGCTTGATCTTTCGAATTCGTTTACGCAACACCATGTTGGACTGCGGTGGCGCCACATTGGATTCAAGGAGAGCCGGATCGTCCGAAGAGTGTGGTGGCGAACCCTCTCCGCCACTGGTACTTCCAGCTTTACCAGTACCGACGCTCAACGGTGCAGAGTCCAGGCACATAAAAGATTTGCTCACATTGCTAGGAGCTGCAAGACGTCTTGGTTAATCACAGTTGTTCCCATAAGTGACCTCTGAAATGGAAAAGATCACTTATTTATGCTTACACGAGAAGGTCCCTGCCAAGTCAAGGAAGTCTGTTCCAAAATATGGAATTTCGGGAAGCGTGGGTTCAATACGCTCTTTGAAGTACTCCATGGCCATGGTACTGAGGTCGAACAGTTCGTCCGTGACTTTATACGGTCGTGCGAGTTTCGGAGTAACTTTGATGTAGTATAAAATACGGTAGACCTCATCCAAAATCTATAAGAACATTCAACGGTTAATAACATTGCGTTCTACACAACCTCATTCAATCTTCCTTGTAGTCCGTCCTGTACCTCTCCAGGGAAGAAACAACAATGTTTTCGCTCAATATGCTTGCCAAAACTCATTTGAAGGAGAGTAAGTCGCATGTGCAAAGTTTCTATTATGTCTGATTCACAGGCTAGTGGATGATTTCGACGAGCCGACTCACGTCTTGGCATCTGTGCTTTTATTGCCTGAAAACGACTGAGCATTTGAGTCTGCAGTCTCTGAAAGGTGGAATTCAAAATGGATCCACATACACGGTCCATCTGGTGGCACACCTGAAATTTAATGATAATTTGTACAGATATTATGAATAACCGAGTGCCTCTTAAAATATTTTTATATTTTCACTTACTGGACGCAAATGGGCTACGATATTGTAGTCTAAGTAACTGAAAATTTTTTCTAAAATTTCCACAGGAAGGTCCAATAGATTCAAGTTGCAGGTGGGTGAAGAATCCACAATGGACACGATGTCAGATGAGCTAGCTTGTGCCTGTGCCTGAGTTTGATTCCTGCGAGATGGCCCAGGCTCTGCTGTGACTTCGCCAACAATAGGAGCTCCACCACTACTACTGTTCATATTGCTGGACTGACGAGTAGACACCATTTTCTCCACCTTTCAGTGGTGAATTCTACCAGAAATCTATAAAGGAGTAGTACCAACACTAAATGAAAAGATTAAAATACAATCAGTCATAGAACCAGGCAACTACGTAGCTTTTTGTTAAAATGCAACAGCAGTCAGCTGAGCAACAATCTTTTGAGCACTTGAATGAATACATTATTATCTGCTTAAACTCTTATATAATGGATCTACTTTTTTTACATTTCATGCATAAGGTAACTCATCTTTGAAATTTCACAACAATACAAGTAATGAACTAAAGGATATTAAGGTAACGTCAAGAAAGAAATTGTATTGATCTTATGATAAGAACAACGAGGGATTCTGTACTACTCGCTTATGGAGCATACAGAATTAGTGCAATCCTTTCTGAAAAATCACGTCACTCACAAGCACGAAGGGATGACCGTAACGGCCACTAAGCATTTGCGAAGTCGGCAGATTGAGAACATGACAACTATTTCTTATTGCTGTGAGTGGTTATTTTAAGACGTCAGAGGAAAAGACAAAAGTCGGGTGTCTTTGAAGCACAATTTCCGCGAATTTTCCAGAAAATTGAATAGTCATAATGTCGGAGATGAACTCATGAAATGTATCTTACCAAAGAATAAAAAATTCGCATGCTCCAAGACCAAGATTCTTCGAAAAAGAGAAGAAAACTTGAAAGAAGCGTGTGCATCATTTAAATTAAAATACAGGGTATTTCGGACAGCAGGTTCACTCCAAGATGTAAAGACGAACTATCTTAAGAAACTTCACAAGAACGATTCGACATCGAGGTCATCGGTTGGTTCGAAGAGTTTACAAGAGAGACGCACAGGCAAATTATTGGAAGGAACAAGGAAGAAACGTAGAGAAACGAATAGCGAAGGAGATGACTGTGAATGATGGAAGAAAATGAAAAGAAACGACGTGCTGCTCAGAAAGGAGCAACAAACGAAAAGGAAATCGGCTGCGCGGAGGTTTCGTAACTATTGCTCGCTACAATATTTTTCCGCACGCTCTCCTGCTTGAAGAGAAAACGAAAGCAAAAGTAGACTTCAGATTGTAGGTCCAGAAACGGAAAGGAAGATGAGAGAGAAAGGAGCGACTACGGGATAAAATAAACAGGAAAATGGGTGCAATCAATGCGGTCATCTTGTTGCCTCGAGTACACTTTGTCGACGTTAAAGGAAAAGCAATGGCTGGGATGTAATACGAAGGGCCCTCATTTCACCTACTAGATCACCAATCCTTACTACGAGAATGCTAGAAATCCCATTCGCGTTTCGTATATCCTAGCCACCACGGAAGACAATCACTGTATCTGCGTTGGCATTTTCAGCGACATTTTGACGGAGCTCCCTCTGCCTCCCTCTTTTACCCCCGCGCGTAGAAACACATAGTACACACAGGCAGGCACAGCCCACAGTCAAACGCACTGCCTCACTCCCATTCGTTCTCTCATATTCTCTCTCACTCACTCTTTCCCATCACTCCTTCGCCCACTCTCGCGCTGTGTAGATGCCCGGCTCGTTGGCTGACTGGCAACTGGCGCGCAGAGCGCACACGAATAAACCGCACCCGGAAAAAAGCCCGCGCGTTCAGCGTCAACTCTTTTTCACGAAAACGCCATTAAAGGACTGGATGGACTGAGTGTGGATTTTCGAGGGCCACAATCGTTGGCCTCCCCGGCTGCGATGCTTTGGGATACTACGCACTATGCGACATCGTCCCGCCGTCAATCAAGCAACTGCTGTGATGGTAGCAAGTCGCGACAAGTATCACCCGGAGATATTAGTCAATTCAGGAAGCCTCGATGCTATCCCAGACACGGGCTGTACAGAATGGACGACGAGTCGCAAAACCACTCAACGGCACGATGGCTCAACGACCACAGTGGACCACAGTGAACCACAGGAACGACAGTACGACGCGATCAGACGCGACACAACTATGCCTTCCTGCTGCTTCTTGCTTGGCTCGATGCCTCGCTCTTATTCCTAATGGCTCTCATTGCGGCACTGCACTTGCGCTCTCTATGTTTATCATTTCCACATCCAGTTTCAACTGCATAGTTATGTAGTAAAACGCTCAACTAATTGCAAAAATCTGTTCATAATCGTAATTACATGCTTATATGTACTTTACTAAGCTTCGAGCATGGAATCACCCAGCAACTCAATATCATTTAGAAAGAGAAAGATTGAGGTCATTGGAGGATGTTGAGTTAATTCACAACAAAAATCATTGCTAGGTTTGTACGCACGGGATTTAGAAAGCATTAACCAATCGCGTGTAATGTTTAACAAGAATAACCCAAGGCGATTGGTTAATTCTTTCTAAATCCCGATTTAGTGAGTATTGATCTAATAGAAATAACAAATCACAGACATTTTTACTTCTAAGGAATATTTGAGATTGATTTCGTTTCCATTTGCGGGATTTAGAGAGAGAATTGACCAATCAAACACTCTTCTTAATGCCTGCTCCACAAGAACGTCTACCTTCAGGCTGCTTTAGCCTCAACACTAGCGCCATCCCTACTATACCCTTCACAAGACCTGGCTTATTCCACTAATCGGTATTGCAGATCCTGATACATTTTTTTTGATTACCTCTGATCCTTCTACAGGTTCTTCGCTCAACTACACTCATCTAATACACAATACAGCACTCACTGCCGTAATATCTTCGTTCTAATCAGCTGTCAGCTATATTTGCATCGAAGTTCAATGAGAGTAGAAATAACATTGAATGTATATACATATGCAGCTTGCAAATGCATAAATATACATAACATATGTGTTTCATCTTTTAGCTCGACTCTGATGGAAGCAGTAATTATGAATTATGGTGTTTTGCAAAATTGTACAGAATATGCTATGAAAGTTAAAATTTTATTCGTAGAATAAATTAGCACACTTATTTGATACTGCCAAAATTCATAGAATATTGCTTGAACATTTTATTTCAATGCTAGCCCTGCTTAAAAAATACGATAGAAAACGATTTTTAAAAAATCCTATCTAATCCAATCGTGTTTTTGGTTCGTAAAATTTAGATTCGTTATCTAATATTTCCTATACAATTTCTATGGATTTATATAAAAAGAAGCAGATCAATTGTTTATCGTTTTTAATAGGTTTCTATCTTGAATCGTTAACATACACCGACAGGCAATATATGTTTTCTTACGAACAAATCATATTTAAACACCTTAAATTATAGTCAATCTGTTTATTCAACTTATAGCAATTATTTCTACTTCGTATATATTAATATTGCATAAAACTTCAGTAAGATTAATTAAAGGAACAAAATTATGAGTTGTATGTAAACCGGTATTAATATTTTAATACTGCGTGCATCCATTTTTCGCAAAAATATAACCTATTATATTAATTGCATATTATATAGGATGACTTTATGCATGACACGACAAATTGATCGCTAGTTAACTGTATTAAGAATGCACTGCACATAAATTCTCAACCAGAAGATTGATTTCATCGAGTATCTTGCGATAAGGGAAAAATTTGACAAAACTCAGCGTCTTGGAGATATTAAGAATACTTTTTTTTATCGAAAAAATTAGAGACTTCATTTCATATGAAAGTTTTCTATCGAATATGTTAAATAATTTTTCAAATTCATTTATCAGTAACTTTTTGGCATTATTATTAAAAATAAACGTTCTTCCTATCTTCCAAGACGTCGATTTTTTCTAGTTTTTATTCTCGTGTCAAAGCACTCAAATTCGGATCAAATCAGATTCTTGGTGGGAAATGTACATGCAGTGCATCCTTAAATTCATGATAATTGTTGGGAAAATCATTTGTTATATTAATCCATATAAGAAAGTTATCGTTTATTTCATATTCTTCCCTAATAAGTTGGTGACTATAGAAAACGATTCGATTCCTATCACGCATTTTCATATTAATAGAACGTGAATTTCATATTATCATAGATAGACGTACTGCTTATATGAAAATACATATAGGTATAGATTAAATTTTTATCGTATTATTACGATAAAGCAACAACCTGATTTCAGATTACATTAGATAGAAACTCTATCGTCACTTCAACTTGATTTAGATAGGACTGATAGAAAACGATTGAAGTCGGCAATTAGTTTAATCGTTTCTTATCGAATTCTATCGTATTTTTTAAGCAGGAAAAGTATTCATCCTGCACAGATTTGTTACCTACATTACGTAATGCAAGATTAAAGATTTTACATAAAGATGGACAATACGTATCATTACATACAGACGTCCTCGTTCTATTATTGATGATATTGAGAAATATGTAAATGGCAATTGATGAGGAAAAAAAATTATTCTATAGACAACCTCTTGAAACAATGAGAAGGACTATAGCGCCCAGCATTACAGTCAACCAAATAAATTCAGAGAGAAGAATATGTCAGATATCCCTTACAAGAAGGTGCAAAGTAAAGGCATAAAATAAAGTCCCAAAGAAAACACCTGGATATCGGTTTCACGGGATTATGGCAACTCGTTTTTGTCCTTGCTTCCGCTTTCTTCGTTTTACCTTGCGCCGCGATTTTTTAGCTGCACGTTCAATTGCGAGTCTACGCTGCATGAGTACATACGCAGAACATTCGCTACTCTAGTTGCGAAATCGATCGAATCTCGTGACACCGCCAAGAGTCCAAACAAAATAAAACTTGTTCACCAATGAGTGACGCGAAGGATGCGAGGCGTATCCCAGTGTCCAAACTGAGTTAAAAAGAAAACGTATTAATATAAATGTTCCAGAAAATTGGATAAGGCTGGAGTGTCACTACGACCCGGGCCTTAACTTCTTGTCCTTAACTCTAGACGTTGTAGGCAGAATCGAAGGAACACTCTGGCATAACGAACTTGGGGATTCCATTTCCGACAAGTTCTCGTCGACGAGACGCGGTTCGCCAAGAACCAGAGGAGGTGGCCACTTATTTAACATGGACTACCGGCTTGACAGTGTTCAGTCGTTCACCGACCAGAACAGTCAATTCCACCGTCACAGTCATTTCTTCGGCTAATCGGCATTTGCTTCGATCCCACTGACAATCGGAAAGTATTCGGTAAATCAGAAATGCTACGGAAGTGTCCGGACATCGCGCTGGCTTCTGCCCTTGTGCTCTCCCTTTTCTTCTACCAAGTTCTCGGTAAGTTATAGCCAACGAAATAGCTTCGTTACTTCCTAATCAGCAGAAAGCTGTTAAAAGGCTGGCAGATTCGGTGCATGACCTTAATGCCTTTTCCTTTTCTTAATTGCTTAGTAGCTTCCGCTGTCTGCATTTAAATTTTACGTGTTACATTTATCGAGCTTCATGATTTCTCGAATTTTGTGATTTTCGGTACAGGAAAGAATTTTTAAAAAATTGAACCTTGCTTTGGCCATCAACTTCGTTTTAGAGTGCGGACGGAAATTTTAGGAGCCATCGAAGGACGTATAAATCGTAGCCAATCGTTTCCTGCAATTGTAGGTATCGTTTCTAGTAAAATAGTTGCAATAGATTTTGCTGTGAAATTAGTAATTGCGAATGACACTTATACTTTCGGCTAAGAAGAAAACAGCTGAATATCAAGTAACCCAACGTGTAAAAACTGCTCTGTAGAAGCAAATTAAAGGAGTCGCGTTGTGCCACTTCTGCCATTGATACTTTCGAGGTATTTTTGACGAGAAACAGTCGAATTCGAATATGGCACATAAATCAGTCGTCGAGGCGCTAATCGACTTGACTTTAAAATATCTTCCACGCGTCGCTTTGAATCCTCAAAGACAGGCTATGTGCACGTGTCGACTTTGAGAATTATATTTGAAGCCGTTGCTCCTATATACGACAATAACAGCAACACGTAATTCAGACAAAGGAAAATTGGAGATGCAAGGATATGCAGTTCTGGCTGAAGCATTTACTTTTCAAGTTTTTACCAACGCCCGTACCTGGGAATTCGGAAAAATCGGGAGACAGGTGAAAAGTCGAATTACGGTCCGTCGACTTTTCGGCACAATGACATCTAAGCAGCTTTGGAAATTCCCAGTCGGCTCGTACGATTGACGGAGTCCTCCAAGATCCAAAACCAAGATCAGGATGACGCATCATGTAGCGGAACTTGACTGTGCACACAGCGGAAGAGCACGCTGTGGTAGGGAACTACTGAGAACTTGGTAATCGTGATTAGACGCGGCAAAACCTATCGTTTAGTCACTGCATGTTGGAAACACGGTCACCGTTAGCGTTCTAAATCGAACCTCAAGTTTTTTCGAAGAAAAGATTCTGTCTGACATCCGACGTCCTTTCACCGCACCGAGTCTAATTGTCGAGCCACGACTTCGACTTGTGCCTACAATAACCGGCACAGGTTGCCTTCGTGCCCATTTTTTTCTTCTTTTCTCTTCTCTCTATCCAGTTTCCATTGAGGGATAAAATATACATAGGAAGTACTTGTCAAGCTACGCGTTGCGCAGAGAACAATGGCGATGCGTAGAAAAGAGAATCGCTATGCGATCAGACTTAGAAATTGTTCTCCGGTCTGTCAAAAAATAAAAAATGATGCTAACAAAGGACAATTAAATGAGAAATTACTTCTATCCGCAATTTTCCATTACTGGAGAATTACGTGACCCTGATAGTTGTATAAAGGCTATACATATATTATACATATACCAGATAGGCTATATACCGCCGTACACACAAACCCGATAGGTTCGCATATTTTATGTACGTTGTACGTATCGTGATTGTGATTGCGCAACGAGAAGCAAAGTCGAGGCATCGGGAAAGAATATACACGTCCATCTCTAGAGGAATGGCGATCTGAAATATCGAGGATGAATCATTGGGCGAATCGAACGAGGAGGATGTCCGAGGGACAATTCGTTCTCGTTGCGTCGATATCGTCTCGAGTCGGGACGATATCGTTGCGCCCTGAGTTGCGCAGTTGTCAAGTCAGGAAGACTAATCAGGTGCGTCAAAAGATCCCGCCGAGCGTCGCGCCTGCCGTCGCCTTCGCTTTTCACAGTGCTTTCCCATATTTCGGCATTGAGGCGATTTCAGACAATTTCAGGCGAATTCAAAGCTACGTCAACTATGATGAATTGCAATCGAGTCAAATATCAGCCTGGCCAACTTGAAACAACGCGTTTCGCTCATAATTATTCATCATTCATAATGCGCGACGTAAATAATCTGAATACCTAAGAAGAGAAAGTACATCGGTGCAAAGCACTGCTGAGACTATTACGTATGTGCATTTGCGTTCCACGAGAAGTGGGTTAAGGAACTAACGTGGAAGGATAAGGGCGGCGTAACACCAGACCATTCGAAATCGATATCTGATTTTTACTTGAGTCACTGCACGTGCGATGCACATGCGAAGGACTTAGTTAGTAATAAGTTATGTGCATTTGATAACGAGTAACGGAGGACACGTGTGGATTGCAGTGCATTCGCGGACTCTTGTGTCACCAAGAGCGCGTGGGGACTTCGACACGACGTATACATATCTGATCGACCGGTCAATATTAATAATAATTATTGCAATGAAATCTGAAGCGGATTCCCAAAGAAGTCGAAATTCGAAACATTCTTAAAAATCCAGTCCATTTTTCTTGTACCTGACTGCAACTGTTCTCAGTTATTAAGCACATCAAATAATGTTAATAACGTCAAGGACCCTGGCGCCTCAGTGCACCAGACACGCAGCCAGCGTCAATACAAACGAAACTGCACTATACTAGTATCAATACGCTTTGGAACTTTCACTGACGCAACCCTACACATCCAGCACATTCTTGGCTCTAGGAATTCTTTCCGTTACTCCTCTGCACGAGTCTACCCGCTCTGGCTATAACCGTACCAGGTGATGCCGATAGACCCTGCGATACGGTTCTGTGTCGAACCGCGAGTCTCTTCAGCTCGTGAATTATGACTCCTTCTTTCTATTTTCTCAGGTCACGAAGTCAATGGAGAGGAATATGGTTACGAAGGAAATCGCGGTGAGTAGTGTGCTCCTTGCGTTTTTCAACTTTTCTTTTTCACACGACACTCAGAAAGAGATTTTACAGGTCCCTCCTACTGGGGAAACGATTACAACACATGTGTGGGAAAGCATCAGTCTCCCATTGACATAGAGGAACATTACGTACGCAATACAACTCTGCTGCCATTAGAATTTACTGGTCTGCATGTACCTCGAGCCGCGAAACTATCGAACAATGGACACACAGGTGAGTGACGGCACTGCCGAGTGACAACTATGACCGATTAGCACAGAATCCCTCTCAAGATATGTTTGATCCTAATGTTAAGAAATTTTGGCTTCTTTCTCTGCCTAACAGTGATCCTAAAAATGGAGGACTCAAATAACGTTCGCGTATCGGGAGGACCTCTTGGACATGAAACGTACGTTTTCGAGCAGCTACATTTCCATTGGGGTAAAAATGATCTGGAAGGCTCTGAAGATCTTATAAACAATCATTCGTTCGCCATGGAGCTTCACGCAGTTTTTTATAAGGAGGAGTATGGCTCAATGAACGAAGCTCTTAACTATCCAGACGGTCTGACAGTGCTTGCGTACTTCTTCGAGGTACAGAAATTTACTCTTACAATTAGATACGGAAAACTACAGCACAGGTGTGAGTATTGACTGTTCACTCAGAATAATGATTGTCCTTGCAACAAAAGCACACCGCGTCCCAAGAAGTAAAGATATCACGTTTCATGGACGTTTCTACCCATTTATCTTTCTTGTAATCTATACTCGAGTGATATCACTGTAAGTATATTCATACTGGACGATATTGAAGATAAAGACTTCCTTTAGGTTACCAATCATCCGAATCCAACTTTTCAAACCCTCGTCCAAAGGCTACCGTTTATAGAGGAAGTAGATTCGACCGATTTCTTGCCAGGCCCTTTGATGCTTGAATCATTTTTGGCGCCGAAACCTTCTACAATAGAAAATTATTTTACCTACAATGGCTCCTTGACCACTCCGCCTTGCTCAGAAGTCGTCATCTGGATTGATTTCAAGGACCCCTTCCTATTGTCGCATCAGCAGGTGTGTTGCAAATTTTGAATCGGAGAACTCTACGATACCAGACCAATTCGTACTTCTCTCACTCTCTGCAATTTCAGCTGGCTGCATTTCGCAACGTACGCACATCGAATGGCTACAGAATAACGCACAACTTCCGACCAATTCAACCTCTCCAAGACAGAGTAGTCTATCGCAATATTCCGCATGTCGAATACACTTCGGATATGAACCCTCAACACCATCATCATCCTCATCACGGGTATTCCGGCCAGTTAAATATGTTCCCTTCAATTCCTATTGTAGTCGTGACATTATTTGTGAGCACACGGTAATACTGTCCTCGTACATTCTACTTAAATGACCAATTATTTAGATAAATTTATAAGTATTGATAAGATAACGTGATAAAGGGGTGTGCTAACCCATAGGGAGAAGCACAACTTCATGTCATGCATTTACGTTACAAGGAGAATAGAATAATAGTGAACATCTGGAAAAAAGGGTAATACTAAATAATTATACATTATATTTAACTTATTACAAGCAAATATTCTCGATCTCTATTTGCAATTTATTAGTTTTCTTTCCATTTTATGAGAAAACATAACAAAATTGTTCACTTTATGGATCAAATATGTATCCTAGCAGTCAGGGATGTCATGTGTTTATTCCATCAGTATTTAATATTAGCCAATAAAATTATATATTTTGACAATTACCTATTTTATTTGTTTTTAATTAAGAAGTCCAGTAACAGAACAACTTAATATACCATACCGTATCAAGTGCTGTAATTAACGTTACTAGTGACTTGTATAAAAAAAAAACCTAGAATGTTATAAAAATGTATCAATATATTTATGTATATAGAATATTTACAATTTGTTGTACAGTGTGCACAAACGAAATGATAAATAATCAAAATGATATTAAATCACGTTATACATTCACAAACAATCTTAGCTCTCATATGGAAAAATACATGTTATCCTACAATCTATTGTTGACATTAGTCCTTTACAGATGTATCAGGTTGAACTCCAGGGGCCATGTTAACAACAGATGCAAGGTTATGCTGACCCTGTTTTAGACGTTCTCTAATGAGTTCTCCAATAGCTTTTTGCGTCCTCCTTTCCAGTTTCTCAAGCTTCTTCGCAACATCTCTCTTCAAATCCCAGTCTGGCTTACGAGGTGCTAAATTACTTATATCCTACAATAATAAAAAACCGTCATTTTATAAAATCATATGTAAATACTACATGCTACCATTTTTGACAATATAAGAATAATATTTACAAGTTCTTCAATAACGACTTTTGTATTAGCAGCACTTAGCTGATCTTGAACTTCTGCCTCAACATCTCCAACCTTCGCTTCCTCTACGACATTGTCCTTTAGATTGTCGTCCTGTGGTTTGTAACTTCGAAATTTTGGTCTATAATCATAGAACAACGTGTCGTTATGACAAAACGTAATATAATTATTTAGGTTACTTGAGGTTAGAAATAAGCTTGAATGAATGTTTCGAGTGAAAAACAGTTTACTCACTTAGGTAACGTTGCCGTTTCTTCGATCTTGTTCTCTTTGATATCATCATTTTTTTTCTTAAGAGCTTGCAAACGCTCTTTCCTTTTTAAAGCTTCTTCTTCGAGCGAACCAATCTTATCGTCCGTCATATTTACGATTTCGTCAAATTTGACTGAATTTGACGGAGCAAAGTTGTTGAACATAGAAAACAGCGACAGAGATCAGTAGGGAGATGCACAACGCTACGGTTTTAGGCGATACCAAAAACATGGCACTAAATCGTAGCGGCGAGTCCGGGAATAGAATTTTGTGATCATCGCCTCCGTCGATAAAGCATATCCCGTCGTAGCTGAGCTGAACGTGATCACGAACGGGTAGCCTGGCGGGCAGAGATTTTCCACAACTTACAACTGATTCCCAGAGCAACCCTTAGAAAGAGGCCGCTTATCAGATATTGCCTAAATCTTTTTTTTTTGTAACCTTAAATTCAAACGTACAGTGTAAGCTCGATAAGATTTACTAAGACAAAAGCCAGCACCTTATGCCTGCCTGCGTTAAGGAGTGCAGCGATGCGGTGATAGTTCCAAGCGGAACTATGGTCCCAACATTGAGTACTAGAGAGAATTATCCTGGAACTGTTTGAAAAACAACCTGAAAACAACACTGAAAGCCAGCTCCTTATGCATACCTGCACTGAAACATATGGTGCGACTAGTATCCTTAATAGGTATTTTAACGATGTTACGTAGAAGAACTGTTGTTAAAACCTACCTGGAACTATAGAACTCCTCGAGAGCTATTGAAAAAGCCTATTGTTGAATCATTTTCAAGAGATTTTAGAAAAGTGCAGTGCTGGAGTTGACACCCATGTAGCACCTTAATTTTTGGAAAATTCCTATTTTAACGATGTTACGTAGCAAAACTATTGGTAAAACGTATCAGGAACTATAGAAATTCTAGTTAATTGCGTAGCATGTACAACGCTCAGACACCAATTTTTGAAGTTCTTCAAGAAAGTATCGTTTGTACCTCTTTCCAATCAGTCCCCTTCGAAAGAGTATGGTCTCTAGTATATCTCCACTGCGTTCCATCGTTTGTACCTTCATACCTGAAAACAACACTGAAAGCCAGCTCCTAAGCCAGCACCTTATGCCTGCCTGCGTTAAGGAGTGCAGCGATGCGGTGATAGTTCCAAGCGGAACTATGGTCCCAACATTGAGTACTAGAGAGAATTATCCTGGAACTGTTTGAAAAACAACCTGAAAACAACACTGAAAGCCAGCTCCTTATGCATACCTGCACTGAAACATATGGTGCGACTAGTATCCTTAATAGGTATTTTAACGATGTTACGTAGAAGAACTGTTGTTAAAACCTACCTGGAACTATAGAACTCCTCGAGAGCTATTGAAAAAGCCTATTGTTGAATCATTTTCAAGAGATTTTAGAAAAGTGCAGTGCTGGAGTTGACACCCATGTAGCACCTTAATTTTTGGAAAATTCCTATTTTAACGATGTTACGTAGCAAAACTATTGGTAAAACGTATCAGGAACTATAGAAATTCTAGTTAATTGCGTAGCATGTACAACGCTCAGACACCAATTTTTGAAGTTCTTCAACAAAGTATCGTTTGTACCTCTTTCCAATCAGTCCCCTTCGAAAGAGTATGGTCTCTAGTATATCTCCACTGCGTTCCATCGTTTGTACCTTCATAGTTTTCTTTTAAATTCAATATTTGTTATTAGCAGGTACACGATCTAGACACCATTTTTGTGAGTTTTTCAAAACATTTATAGGTAGTATAGTTATAAGTTAAAGGTAGTATAGTTATAGGTAGTAGAAAAAGTGTAATAATCCGTATGCGTGCTGAGAGAGACGCACTTAGAGCCCTGCTGTGCTAATGAAACGTACGCTTTAGGAGCATTACAGGGTGCGTCAACGATATCCTGAAATGCGAGCAATTGCCGTGCACCGATCAGCCTGCATCGTCACTCCAGAGCATCGTTGACGAACCCTGTACGAGTTGTAATTGACAAACCTGTCGTAGGGGGGCATCACTT